AGCCATAAATGAAGCTCTTAACAACTTTCGTTTTATTTTCAGAGCATCCATATTTATATGTACACTTAAAATGATTCATAATAAATTCTTAATTTCTGTTTATACTGAAGAAATTAAAGTGATTATACTTTCTTAAACTTAAATCACTTTTATCATCATAAACAGAGTATCGTATACTTATAAGTAGTAATTTAAATCATTCGTACCTGTATACTTTTATAATTTCAAATTCTGAATTCTTCAGTTGCAGAACAAAAACTCTGTCCTGTCACCGGACATCACTTAATTATGACTGAAGAAGATCTTTCAATATAAAGAAATCTTATTGGCATCATGTACGTGGAACTAAAAGCAACGTAAACATGGATGAAATTCTGATCTCTCTGTTTTCCCTTTGCCAATTCCACCAACTCAATAACAAGTTAATTAGAAAAGGCAACACGAAGTGGGAAATACAAGATGAGTGACAACAAAATGTATACATCATCTGATAATATAATATGTTTTTTAATGGAGAACCAGAGAGATTTTTCTACAGTTTGTAACCACTAATTAAACAGGAAACAGCATTATGCAATTATCCCACTTCCCCACACCTGCTTAAATGAAGTGCAGAAAATTCTCAGATGTGGGAGTAAGGTCATAAATCTTTTTGGAGACAAGGATGACGCCAAGACATGTGATTTGCAGATTTACTGCTACTTCTTAATGCGTCTAAACATTTTGGCAGGGTAATCCTCATTGTAAGTAGGCCTTCACATGAAGCCACGTTGCTTTAATGTCAATTTGATTTTCACAGTTTATTGAATGAGCAAAATTTGCCAAGACTGCTTCTATGATATTATTGAAATGCCTCTTAATTTGTGCTGAACCTATAGGGAGTTGGTTGAAACTCTTTAACATTAAAGCTTTTACTTTATCATAATCCTTTAACTCTTCTTCACTGACAAAATTAAAAATATTCTGTGCCTTTCCCCCTTATATGTTAAATCAATACCTCTGATTTTAACTTGTCTGGAACGTTTCAGTTTCAGAATGCCCTCTCAATTCACTTAACAAATTCAACACTTCCAGTCTCACTGCAATGGGGATAATCAAGGTTTTAATACTTTTGATTAATTGCTTAAGTTAATCCCTAAGCAGTCATTTTCTGACATTCTCACACATTGTATTTTTGCAATTCCTATTTCAGATTCCTTTTGTAACTGAGCCTGCTTTAATTTTTCTAACATATCTTCTACCATTATATTAATTAAAGTTGATGACAGAGTCGCTGTCTTTTTTAAACACATCAAAACTCCATGTAGCTGTATATCTTTGGGCATCCTAATCCCAGTGAGGCTCCCAACATTTTTTGTGATTGTCTTCTCAGAATAGTAAGGAAGAGTGCTTGTAGACATGCACATATTTATTTCTATTTATGTACAATGGGTGTTGAAGACATTCGGTACATGGAATAAGTTGACACAATTGTAACTGATGCCTGCAAGTATCAGTTAAGATTCATTCAAAACTGATGCATGTAAAGTATAACAAAACTATTAATCACAAAATAAAATTTCTCATGTAGCTGTATATCTTTGGGCACGCTAATCTTCCACAGTCCCCCAACCTTTTTCTAAAGTATCTTATCAGAAGTTTAAGGTAGAAACTCAGCTTGTAGACATGCATATATTTATTTCTATTTATGTGCAATGTGTGTTAAAAACATTTGCTATGTGGAAGGAGGAAATGTAATCATAACTGATGCATTTAAAGTCTGTAATATTTAACTCCTGGTATAGATATTAGTCAATCAGTTGAGGCTGTCTGCACACAACTTGCCATCTGGTTCCTTCTGAAACATCTTCTCTGCTATGGCAAACTGTCTGTGGTTCTGATGGGTGTGGCCTCAGCCAGAAGGCAATGACAGACCCATCTTTTGGCAAGGATGGGAGGCATTCCACGAATGTGTTGTTTAGAATTATTCTTCTTGACGTTGAATTAACATTTGCATGAATTTCAACTATTTCCTTTACTTTCAGTATCAATGTATTCTACATTTACCAACTGAACTTTGAGTTACTGATGTGAATTCTTTTATCATCACCTGTGTGTGAGGTAATTGCAAAATCAGTGCAGGGTTTTTGTGTTCCTAGTTCTTGAATTGTTTTCACAGTTTTCAGAGAAGAAATTTCATGTTGTATCATATATTTTTCTGTATCAATGTTTTTATTTTTCATGTATTTTAATGCCTTATGTACTTAAATATGCCTTTTGCCTTCTTGTAACATCTAAAGCTTAGTGTTCTTCATAGTGTTTATCTTTAGATTTAGTAAATAAGGCATCCTGAATTGGCTATATTTTTTTCACTTTAAATTAATGCTTTTTTACTTTTAGTAACTTTTAATATATTTTACCCAAGCAGTTAATCATGAGATTTCTGTTGTAATCTGAAAGCTCTGAAATATGAAATTTCTTGGTTTGTCTGCCATGTACAGAATCGCTAAGAGTTTTCAGATGTTTATACATAGTTTCATGGAAATTTGCTAAATATTCTTGCATCATTTTATTAGCTAATAATTTTGTTAAAAATTAATTGTTTAAGTCTCGTAAAGTATTTTGGTTGATATATTTTATGGAATTTCATCAAAGCTTCATCTAAAGCTTTACATTTTTTTTTCTTTGTGAAACTTTAAATGGTTCTATGCTGAGAGCAATTATTGCTAAAGCTTTCTGATCGTTTTGACCACCCTCTTTTTAAGTTTTCAGCTTTAATTAACTTCCTATTAGTGACTTCTGATGAGCTTTAGTTAAAATAAATTTTACAAATTTCAAAATTTAATATATCAAGCTTTCTGAGTTAGGTGTTATGATTTTTGTACTACTTATATTCATTTACTTATTTCATTTAAGGCAAGAAGTAATTAATTTTGTGTGTGTTATATTTTCACCATAAAAATGCTGTTTGTTCACTTGCATTAGTAGGACCATTTTTGTGGCCCATAAGGGAAAAGCAGTAGAAAGGGGAACTCTTGACTCGGCAAAGTGGCTGAATGCTATTTTTAGGTGTATAAGGTGATTGTTGGCCAGTCCTCTGTATTGGAGATTTGTCAGAATCTTTTGTCTTTCATATTGGAACTCCGGCATTGCGATGGGATTAGGACAATGTTGATGCCTTGGAAAACCAATACATAAATCACTCACACATCATAGTAACCAAACACAGAAATGAAGAGTGGGAATATTGAAAATTTTGCAGCAGTGGGCATCGAGTGACTAATATCAAATTCAAGCACTTTGCCCACAGCTGCACCTGCTCGTACAGTAGGGCTATATGACATCATTTTTCACTGTAACATAAATAAGAATTGTACGTTTTTGGCAAGATCAACATATTGAACAATTTCTGTCCAAGATCTGTGTCAGCCACTATGGGTGAGAATTTTTTTTTTTTAATACGTGACATTACTGAATTTGGATATGGCATTTATAATCCCATGCTTTTTCATTTTTTTATTGTAGTAATATTATTTTGAATATTGCAAATGTCATTTTAGTTTTAAATCATTTCCGTGTATTTCTCTCTTTCTCTCTCTCTTTTTTAAAAATATGTTTCAGTATTTATTTCTACATCTGAAAGTAGATGTTTTACCTCATGGTCTGCGAGGTGTTAACTTATTGTTTAATAAATCAGTATGTGATTGAACTATAAATAAAAGATTTAAACAGTTTAAAAATAAACTAGTGGGGCCAGTATAGTATTCAAATAAGAAAAAGTAGCCCAAAATAAAAGTGAAACAAAAATGATTAATGAGTAGAAAATTGGCATTATCTCACTTCTGTAGACATATATGCATTTTCAAAATAGATTTTTTTTATTGATATCCTTTTGGAAAAGTATAAAGGATTCTCTTTTCAGTCATGTATGAAAACTATTTTGTTGTTGTAGAATCCTATTTTATCTAAATTAAATGGGAAGGAGGAGCGTTTTGGATAATTCATGGAAGCAATATTTTTCTTTTGAAGGTAGAAGTAAATATATCTAAAATATTTTTAAGCAATTATTTGTGTCATATTTTATTTTTATCCCTGTATTGGATCACAGTGAACCTTTTTCAAGCTGACCATCTCTGAATGTGACTAGTAAAGCTTTGATATTGAGCATCACCTCTATTATATGAGCACCTCCTTAAAAGACAGTATCATGTGGAACTATGACTGGTTATCTTAGAGAAGTTTTACTGTATTTCTGCTTCTGTTTAATTGTGAACAACGTGATATCTTCCTTTGGATTTTTTCTGCAACATGGCATCTACTGTAAGCTGAGTGTGTAAGAAATCTGACCATAAATTTCTGTAGTTGGCAGTTGTAATGATTATTCATAAAAGTGATTGTACCATTTCAATAACTAATGCCAAAAACCTTTGAAAAGTGAAAACTAAATCCATTTCCGTTATAGCAGCCACTTGTTATTAGGGTATGAAAGGTAATAATGAGCATCAACTGTAATCCAGAAATCAGTAATTTTCCAATTTCAGAAAATCTCTTCCAAATTAATGTTCAATTTCACTGCTTGGATTGACACTGTGCAGAGATGCATTTTCTCTCAGTAAGAAAATTTACTTGAACTATTTTTTTATATAATATATTGTTAATTGCTAGTTTTCAGTAGTTTTGCAACTTTGATGTTAGATGTTTAAATAATACTAAATTTTTAACTAGCATAATTCATCAAGGAATATTAACACTTAAAACTCATGTATTGAGTAGATTTCAGAGATCAGTAATTTTGCTGCAAAAAAATATCCTATGATAATTAATTCATCATAAAATATGTGTTTATCTGTAAAACTGTAACAATGTAAGAAGTTATTTTTATTTCAATTAACACCAAATTTTAGTTAAGTTTAATTGACTAGAATTTTATTCATTCATTTTTTATTTCGTGCAATGAATAGTATAATTTTACTTGTACTCGTAATATGAGGTTTTAATTAGGAAATTACTTTATTGCATAGATGTTTATTATGTCAAGCTGACACAGTTCTGAAGCAATACGAAAGCAAACTTTATCGTGTTGAAGAAGCTAGTAGCAGCAGAAGCAGGAGAAGTGAAACAATAGCAGAACTGGAATCAAGTGTTTCCTTCAAAACACTTCGTCAAGGAAATCATGCTGACAGTGAATTTGAACTAATTTTAAAATTCTTCATGAGTTATTGCCGCCCTTTCAAAGGTATATCATATTCAATGAATGTACTTATTGAAGTGAAAATTATTTAAAGATTTTGCTGGAAGATGTTTTAGTATCTGTTGGATGCTTTTAAGAGCATTTATACATGTTGCATTGTGCATCAGTATCTATTTCTTTATATTCTGTACCAGGGCTGACCAATTTGTTGACTATAAGCTTCTCATTATAATTTTATACTTTTTCTATGCATTGGCAGATCATGTTGTTGTCTGTATTGAAAAAACGTAGAGTACACTCATTTAAAGATTGCCAACCCTATTTTAAATAATTGATAACAAAATGTATGGCATGTAAGAAAATTTTTCTGACACATGAGTGGTTTATAGATGATATCAATTAATGTACTATTAATTACAAAATAAAATGTAGAATGTGCGTACCTAATTTTGCTTTATGTAAAAGTTTTGTTAAAAAATAGTTAACCTGGAAGTTGTGGTCAAGAAATATTTTTTTTCTTGATTCATCAGTCCTATGTAGATGATTCATGTTTTTAGAATTTCCTGATTTCTCCCAAACACTTGTTGCTCTCATTCATGTTAGAGCGTGTACTTCTTGCTGCCAGTAGTCAGTAATAAATCCTTGAATATATGTATAGTACATTTATATAATAAGTTAAAAAAATTATCTTCTTTTGAATAAATTTATAGTTTTATTCAACATTGCCAGTGAAAATAAAACACTAATGTAATCAGTTAATTCCAGATTTGGTAGTCTGAAGTATGTAATGTGATTAATAAAAGCAGTAATAATTTTTGTTTCAAATAATAAAATTATTTTATGTTAGATGCCAGTATGCTGAGATTGTTGTTTAATTATAATAAAGTGTACTAAGGTAGTCTGCTTTTGTAAAAATCTGTCAAAGAGAAATAGGCCAGCATATACGTGAGTTTTAAGGAGCAACCCCATGGAAGCAAACTGTTCAATTGCAGGTAATAGGGCTGAGGTTGAACTACCAGGGTTTCACAGTGACTTTACCACTGTTGGCCTCCAATAAGATGACATTTTAAAACAAATTATAAATTGTTTGCTAGGGAAAAAGTCAAACAGAATAAAGGAAACATGTGCAATTACATAATTCTGTTTGATTTCAGTTCTAAGCAATTTTCTAGAATGCATATTTATGGTAAGAGCTTAATTTTGCAAATAATGTGGAGGAAGACTTCACATTCAATTACTAAATGCTACGACTCTCTGACTGGCAAGGGCCTAGAATAGTTTTTGGGGATGTCTTAAAGAAAGTATATATACGTGTATAAGGCAACATACACTGGTGTGCAAAAATTAAGGACGAAGTCAAAAAATTAGCATATCAGCTGAACAAAGAGGCAGAGCAGACAGAAAGACCAATCAGGAGATTAAGTAAGGTGATGTACGGTAGCACATTCGCAAATATGCAGGTAGACGTAATGGGGGAGTGTCTGAGTAGTATAAAGCATGTTGTCGGTGTAAGATCAGTATTTCTGGCAAAGAGATTGCACGCCGTATAGCAGTTAAAATCACACCGAGTTGCTGCCTCAGCGAGAAATGGCGAATAATCAATCTGTTAGATGACATCTGGATGCTTTTACCCGAGGTCGAATCATTGGGAAGTTGGAGGAAGGCCGCAGTGTGACAAGTGTGACTGCAGAGTTCGGAATTGCTCACAGCATCGTTTCATGACTTTGGAGACAATTTCAAACTGCAGGAACAGCTATCCGGGGGTTTAGTAGTGGTCGTGCACGAGGAACCACACCCGCAGATAACCGGTATATTGCCTTACAGGCCAGAAGAAACAGGCGGCAGACAGCAGGAGAAATCGCTAGACACACAACACAGGCGACTGGACGACCGTTATCGCGTTTTACCATGGTCAGAAGACTGCACGGTGGTGATCTGTTTGCATGACGCCCTGTATGGTGTGTACCTCTAACGCCTGCCCATCGGAGAAGGCGTTCTCTTATGGTGCTTTGAACACCGGAAATGGAGAGACAATGAATGGGGGCGAGTATTCTTTACAGATGAGAGCAGATTCAGTCTGAGTAGCGATTCTCATCGCATACTCATCTGGAGAGAGCGGGGAAGCCACAATCATCCCTCGAACATCATTGAAAGGGACAGGTATGGAGGTGGCGGTGTTCTCGTTTGGGGAGGCATCATGCTTGGTAGTCGTACAGACCTTCACATCTTCGACACAGGTTCAGTCAACGGGACCCGTTATGGTAACGAGATTCTTCTTCCATATGGGCGTCTTTTTAGAGGTATGGGCGCTATGGGTCCGCAGTTCCTTTTCATAGACGACAATGCACCATGCCATCGCACAGTAGCTGCCGAACAGCTCTTAGAGAGTGAGGATATTGAACGTATGGATTGGCCGGCACGATCTCCGGATCTCAATCCCATCGAGCATGTATGGGATTTTCTAGGCAGACGCTTGGCAGCTCGTACCTTACCACCAGTAACAATTCCGGAGCTTCGATTGGTGCTGCTGCAACGAATGGGCAGCAATGCCTCAACAACTCATTGACACCCTCATTCTCAGCAATGGGCAGACGCTGTGAAACCTGCCAGCAGTCAGGGGAGATCATATCCCCTATAAGACCGGATGTTTCTTGCTGGAACACCCATCACAGGGATGTTTTGGCCTTCAGTCGCATTGCGCTCCATGCTACTTTTCAATAAAGCTTCTTTTTATAACTCTGATTTCTCTTTAATGAGTGTTGCTTACATTACTCATGTTCTTACATATTGGGATCTACGGTATTAAATGTGTTGATTTGAAGCATTTGTACAAAGTTATATTGAAAAAAAACCATCTCGTCCTTAATTTTTGCACACCAATGTATCTAAGCTATGCAAAATTGGGGATAAAGTACTAAGGGAATTTTATCATTTTCGTGGCTGTGTTTGGAGATATGGGCTTTCTTAATGAAACTCCAGGCTAGTCCAAGAATTAACAAACAAGCTGTTAAAGGCTGTATTAAAAGCATCTTTTTCTGCATATGCTTATTCATTAATGAATAATTAATATTGGTTATCATATGAAGTATTTTTTGAAATTATATGCGAGAATCTCTATTCTAGTTTACTGATTTATTCCATTGAAGTTGTGTAATAAGTAAACATTTTTATTTGAGTTTCGAAATAATAATGCTTTTAGAAAGTAACTATGCACCTGCACAATTACAAATGGGCGTGATTATACAGTGAGATATTTTGCCAAATGATGCGATTCGAGATAATGTTTAATGTAAAAGTTGGTTATAATGTTTTACACATTTGGTTACATTGCAGTTGCTTTGCCTGCATCAATCTGCTTGCTGTCCTTAAGAAGGACAGTGTGTATAGCACATTGTTGCGCATCCTTGCATCTGAACAAGTTAACCCAAGTTTAATATTTTCCATCTGTTGTCAGGATGGTTCTAACTTTGGAAAAGCGAATATTCCTCATTGAATATGTGTTCCATGATCATGGCCAGTATACACAGAGAATGAAAGAGCAGTACGCTTGTGCCTAATTGAAACAGTGTCAGAGATTTAGGGAAACCGGATCAGTAAGTGATTATCTGTGAAGTGGGAGACCATCAATACTCATTGAAGATAAACTGCTAGACATATCAGTTGCAATACTACATAACCTCAGTAAGTCCATGCAAAAATTGCCACAGCAGGAAAACATTGGTGTTGCAATGGCACATAGGCTCTTCGAAAGAAACTTGGTCTTATCCCAGATAAAGTTCTTTAATGATCATTCACCAGTGACACTGGAAAACGAAGTCAGTTTTGTTGATGCTTTCAACAGTTCTTTTCGAACCATTCTGTTGATATATTGAACTATTTTTTTTTACTGATGAGGCATTGTTCCATTTATGAGGTTACATCCATGCACAGAACTTGCATTGATGATCAAGTAAAAATACACACATACTTCATGAAACTGCACTTTTTAACTCAAAACTTGGCATGTGGTTTGCAATATCCAGAAGAATAGTAGGCTCAATATTCATCAGAGAAACAATCAATTCTTATCATTATTGTCAAGATATCTACAAGTTCATGGAAGAACTAATGGAGGATGAAATTAACAATGCCTGGCTTCAACAAAATGGCACCACCATGCACACAGCTTGTAAGTGTATGAATTTATTGGAACATATTTTCAAAGGTCGAATCATTTCAAAGGGTTTGTAGCCGCCTCGTTCTCCAAACCTAAGCCCTCCAGATTTTAACTACTGAGGTTATGCAAAAGCTGATGTTTATCGACAAAACCCCATCCTCGCTCCCGGAATTGGAAACTGTTATTCCTGACTTCACCAAGAACATTCCACAGACACAACTTGCGAGAGGCATAATTTGTACAACTTAGAGAACATGAAGAGACATTTGCAGACATGGCTGGAGGCTTGTGGTGAATATTTCCAATAATTATTGTGAGGTAAGTGAAATTTTTTATAATTTGTGATTAATTCTCCACCAGCTTATTTATTATCCTCCAGACGCAATTTGATCGCTATTCGCGAGCAAGTTGTGTCTAAGACTGCAATTAGTTAACAGTTTTCAACAAGTAGAATTAAGAATTACCACAAGTTTTATTGATGATATTGAGGTTGTTCATGATGTGGAAATAGTTAAGAAAGAATTCTTGGATAGCAAGATTTGTTTCTTCGATCATCTGAAAGCTTTACCAAAAGAGTGCTTTAGTGGGTGAAGCTTTTTAATATTTGAAGTGACCTGTATCTCTTTCCTAAAAATGACCCACTCTTCACAATTAAAAACTTGCTGTGTCAGGTAATACTGGGGAACCACGAGCTTCTGGACCTCAACTGCAAAAACCTGAACTGTCTTATCATTAGAACTCGCACCTGATTCATGCTTCATAATATTAATGCCACTTTTGTTAAAATTATCAAACTAATTCCTACTCAGCCTGAGGCCTTTTGCTTTCTGTCGGCATATCTGGCAATTTACTTACAAAGTTTGTGTACAAGGCTTTTAATTTCTTGCTATGTCAGTCACAGTATCACCTGCTTCTCATTTATCTGTAGAAGCAACTTTTCTACATCTAGAACATATGGCAGTTGGTTTGTTATTCTTGCACTTCTTCCAGTAATATACACGTTTTTCTTATTAATCCATAAGTGAAATGATGAATTGGAAATATATATGCTAAATTTGCCAATTTTTATGCACTGATATGTTTTTGCAATTTAAACTTTGTTATATTAAAGATGTGACTATAGTGAAATTTACTTATGTCATTTTACTCATGTAATATGATTCATATAATTGTTGTTTGCTTTCATCAATTTAAACATTTTTTATTTTTTATTTTTTAAATTTTAGAAGCCAAGCATCGTATTGAAGATGGTGTGAAGGAACTTAAATTGCTTGAAGCTATGAAGAAAGAATTTAAGGTTTACTAAATATTCTTCTCTACTAATCATAACCTTATTAATGAGAGATTATCTTAACATAAATTTTTCTCTTGTTGTATGTCTTAAATTTTTTAAATTGGCATTGTTGGTCAGCCGAGTAGAGAGACCAAAGTTGACAAGCACTGTTATTCCAGCTTGCATATCTGGCAGATGAATGAGTTGGCTGCTTGAGAGTTTCATGATTTTTTTCATGTTCAGTGTAAGTACTAGTCAGTTTTCTTTAAAATATCATCCACAGGGGCATTCCTTCCTATATGCAGAGATGCCTTACTGTTATTTGCTTGAAGCAAGTAATCCAATCCAATCCATATTTGCATAGCATACTTACTATGTTATTAAGTTTTTTTTTAGGAATGTGAATTGAATTTTTCTTTATATCTAGTCATCCACTTTTTCCCAGTTTCATCTGGAACTGGTTCATCCCAGTCAAGTTCAAGTTTCCAAAATTCTTAAAAAATACTTTTCGTTGGTATTATGAAAGGTGCTATCCAATCCAAAGGATCGAATAATTTTACTATCGATGATAATGTAATATGTTTTGTTTAAATATATGGACAATTTAACATCACAGAATAACAGAAAAGGTCATCTTTATTAGGGTCTTATTGCAGACCAAGAACTTTTATGGCTTAGTTTTCTACAATCGTAAAGGTTTTTATCATTAGTTTGACCCTTTATGCTTGGGCTTTCTAGCACTGTTGTTTCATTTTTAGACTATTTGTCGAGTTCAGACTCGCCTTTTCTAAGCACAGGATCCATTTCAATTGCTAGCTCAGAACTCTCTTGAACATTATCAGCATCTGCCAACACATCATCTACATAAAAATCCCTTGGCACTATATATGTGGTTTTAGGAAATCATCACCCACTTTCATCAATTGCTAATTGCTTCAATGCTGTTGTCACTAAGTATGGCACAGAAACAGTTCCATATGTAACAGTATTCAACCGAAAAACTTGCTCGTTACTTCAAATTATCTCTTCAAGAATGAATTTCTTTTGAAATCCCCAATGTTTAGGCAATTTTACCTTGTCAATACAGTTTTTGAAGCTGTTATTGCCACACTATGAAATCAAAGTCTCAAAAGAATATTAAACAGAACATCTTGGGTTCTTGGATCAGCCTTTAAAGTGTCATTTAAAGAAACACCTGATGATTTTGCACTGGCATCAAACACTGTTTTCATTTTTGTTGTTAAGCTTGACTCATTTAACCCTTTGACGCACGGTGGTCGCGCCCTGAAACCATCATTTTCCGAATTTTTTTTCTCCACTTTTTTTCCAAAATTTTTGAGTGAAAATGAATTGATTACTGATCTTTTACATTTAAATAACACAAAATGACTGTAGAATCATATATGTTTTAGGTATTAATACTTCAGATCGGATGCCTTTTAAAATTCGTTTTCATTGAGACAAAAAACTTCCTTTTATTAATATAAACAACTTTAAATTTCAAAAGTTAGTCATTGCAGGTCATAAAAAAAACCTCTGTATGTATGGCATTTGCTATGTGGTTTCAGGGCGCCACCACTGTGCCACTAGAGCATTATGTCACAATGCTTACAATCCTCTAGAGGCTTGGTGGTCACGCTTTGAAACCACTGGCGTTTGCTTCTCAATGGCATTCGCTTGCTTTTCAAATATTAATGTTTATTTTTACCCAGATATAGATAAAGGGCTTTGAAACCACAGAGTTATTTTATTACTAAACAATATATGCACCTGCCCAGAAAAAAGGTCTTTCTTTTCCAAATACTTTTCTCTGACATCAACACACTTGCTCCCCAAGCTAGTATTGTGATTTTATATATTATTTCCTGTGGTTAAAATTTAATGTAAATATACTTTGTTATAATTAAAAATAGAAATTGCTTAAAAGTTTTATTTAAATTAAAAATATTTTCTGAATATTTTGGGACGAAATACGAATAAAATAAGTATGAATGGGAAACGAACGATCCGTACAAAGCCAGAAAGACCAAGCCCTCCCCCCATTAACATAAAAAACCACAAATTTCATGTGCCAGATGAAAAGAAACTAAATAATGCTGGACATATACCAGTGAAATTTAAATCCAGGCAGTGTACATTTTGTAGCACAAGGAAGAAACCTCATAGAACAAGATGTATGTGCGAAACGTGCAATGTGAGTCGATGCATGTACCAAAGAGACAAAACATGCTTTGAACACTGTCCAAAAAAAAAAAAAAAAAGTTCTTTGAAATTAAAAAAAAAAAAAAAAAAACTGAGTTCTTTTTTTATCCTTATTGAGTTTTTTAATCCATTTATCCAAATGTCCTTATTATGTAGGTACTTACATTTTCACTGCTATAGAAAAATTACATAAATGTTTATTTTTTAATTTTTTCTGACGATTTACTTTGTAAAATAATGTAAAAAATTATATATAATTCAATTCTTACATTCATTTTTTTTTTAATCCTTAAATTTCGTCATTTATTGGAAATACGTGCGGAAAACGGTTAAGTTTTTTTTTTCCTATTACATCAGTAAGTTTCAAAGTCCTAGACGCGCAGTGGTTTCATAGTGCGACCACCACCCACAGAACAATGGGCAAGAGTAGATTTTTTTAAATTCATATATTATTTGTCTCTAGGATCATAATATTCAATTTCTAGAGTTTTTAGTTAAAAAAATTATAAAAATAATATCGCACGCATCAAAGGGTTAAGATAAGATAAAATGACGAAGAATAAAACTAATTTACAGTCCAATGATGAATTTGATTACATTACAATAAATATTCTTGCATAAGATTTTTTTATACTGATTATAAATTTCTGGCATTGAAGAATGTTCTTTCTCTACATAATAAAATAATTGAAAAGCCATTTCCTGTGAGTTAACAAAAAACTTTCTCTTAGTTTGAAAAGGAAGCTTAACTGAGTTGCTTCCATGCTAATCATAACTGTAACTTTAGAGAATGAAACTTAACTGTAAGGCATCTGAAGAGCTGTTGCTCCTGCAATAATCCAACCTAGTGTTGAACTCGCAGGAAAAGATAACTTTCTATTCCACTTTATTATGTTTCCATCTATTAATGCTAAAAACACATTTACACCTAATAAAATGCCAACTCTTGCTTGATTTATAAAATAATGGAGCAACTAAAACCAGATCACTAAAATTATCACTAATGTTTTAAGATAAAGACAAAAGAGGGGGATTGTCATTTATATTTTCTATTATGAAAGAAGTAGTGATTGTCCTTTATGCTGTCTGTTATTAAAGCAGTAGTGGAAACTTTCAATACACTATTCAAACAACAAATCTCCTCCATTACTCATTACTTTGCCTTTAACATGAAATTGAACTATCTTTCCACATACTTTCTAATAATAAATAATCTTTAACTTCCATTGTTCAACAAACATCTGTATTATACTAACTCATGTTCTTCATTATGAACTTTAACAGAGAAAAATAGAACAGAGGATTCCAGAACAGAGGAAAATCATTCTCCTTAGCGTTCAAAGCATTTGCATAGGCAACATTAGATTTTGGTCGTTCTTTTGAATCTGTAGTTAGATCCGAGGGCCCACCAGCGGCCGAGCGGTAAAGTTGCTGAACACTGGTAGTTCGGTCCGAGGTTCGAATCCCGCGAACGGGGTGGCTGCATGGGCGTTTTCGTGATTTTCCCCATGTGTAACGTGTATACGAGCCAGTTTCCCTTAGAAAGTCCTCCACGAAGGCATCCCTCCCCTTAGGCAGATAGCCCTAGTGTGCTTTGCCGTATTCTCAATACACCAACCTGTATTTAGATCTGACCTTTCATAAATTTTAGGAACAAATTGTGTTGGGTGGTGAAGAAAGAAAACATTTGTGGTCTGGTCTTAAATTTTCTATATATAGTACACTGTGATAAGGTTCCCATAATGCTTATATTTATGTACACTTTTACAGTCTTTGTGCATGTTTTAAAGATTGTTGATGCATAAATTATTATTTTTTACATATTCATTTCTTTTTTGCACATCTAACTGATAGCAAATTGTGGTCTTGATATTAGGTACATTTAGCATTTGCAACTTTGTTATTATTACTCTGATAGCCCTTTCCTTCTGACACTTTACTATTTTGTATTGTCCTTGTGTAATGTATTAAAAATTCGATTAGATCCCTTAATTTAGGGATTTCCTCTGTTTTTGAATGTCTTTCTTTGTCTGTGACACCAGAATCTAGTCTTTACAAAGCAGCACAAATTAATAATACATCACCAAAGTTTTCTATTTTCTGTCATAGCCCCTCCAAGCCACAAACAAGTTTTCCATACTGTACTTATACAGCAATCAAACTTACTGGAGATTCTGGCTTTATGTATATGTATCTGTGAACTCAACCTTAAATTACAGTTATTTAAAGTAATTTTGGTGTTCCATATTTTAACAGTTTAAGGAAAAGTAAAATGTAATATCAGCTTCAGAGCTAAAATAGTTTCCAAAATGTTCACAGATACAATATTTGAAAATGATTAATTTGACCATTGTTATGTTTCTGGTTTTAAAATATGGTTGGCAGCAGGACACTGCTTACAGATTTGGGTAAAAGTATATTTACTGGTACCCCTTGGCAATTTCTGGCAGTACATGGATGCAGAGTTTGTGCATTTCTTTGACTTGTTATTTTGGCTTTGTGTAGTGGCTATTTTTATTCCGCTAGCTCGGTACCCATGTACACATCGACCTATTTTCACTTATAAAAATATCAGAGAATTGCACAGTCTCGGCATTGTGCACTCCCTTGACTTTGTCCTTGTACACACTAATATATTTTTACTTAAAATGTCAAAGGAGCACCCAATTCTACTCTAGAGCTAAACAAAAAATATATAATTTCAATAAACTACATTTTAAATCAAACGGTGAAATAACATAAAAAAAAAAGAAATTCATCTTATAACATCTAAGCACTACACAAAAGAAATATCCATTTACCTTATTTGGAAAGTTCCGTGGCACACAAAATTCCTTAACAGCATCCAAAAACTTTCATCAAACCTTCTAATGGAATACATTATGTGGTGACTCTTTGAACCTTTCTTGTGACTAGCCCATTGAAAGCCATCTGAACGATCTTTGTGTTCGACCATATGCATTTCTGTCGTACAAACAGCACACTTATAATTCCATTGAATTGCGTCCTTGTTTATTTTCCAAAAGGTATGGATGTGTCTAAGGATCGGGAGAAATCAATAAAAGAAGCACAGCTAAAATATACACAATTATATATAAATCTGATTTTACAAACTGCTGCACTAAAAGTGTAACAACCTTTTTGAATAACTGGAAGAACACCACGTATCTGCGTTTTAAGATAACATATACAGAGTTGAATTTAAATAGTTTTTTAAGCAAAATAAAAAGTTAGTATAAATAAAGGTTAAAGGCATAAAAATACAGAAACAGTTCACTAAATTCTAATAAAGTAAGCTGTTGAAGATAGAGCCGGATTTATGTATAAGCTACACAAGCTATAGCTTAGGCCCCCCCCAACTTTCTTGGAGGCCCCGCAAAAATTGAAATATATTATAGCAGACTTATAAAGGGCCTTATATCTGAAGTAGCTTAGGGTCTTATCAAATCTAAATCTGTCTCTGATTTATTCTCTTACTACTGGCAATCAAAGCAACTAATTTTTGCAGTTATGCAAATCTTACTCAGTATGTCAGGTAGGCTACTTGAGAAAGTTTGAATTCAGTCATTTTCAGTATCAAAATCTTCTATAGTCTTCTAATCTGAAAGATGTGCAAAAAGCATTCATATGAATTTGCTTTGTTTTAACTGAGATGGCAAAGCACAGCATGGCTGTCTGCTTAGATGCTTTCATGAAGGACTTTTTAAGTCATAGTATGCATGGGGAGGGGACCCTAAAAAATTGCCAAGCTGTCTGCTGATTTCCCTTGGGTTCAAACCAAGACCGAATTTTTTGGTGTTCAACAGTCATGTCTGCTGAGGCTGGGAGGTCCAAAGTTAATTTAAAATAACAAATGTAAAGTAGAAATGTATCGTTGATTTTTATTAATGCTGCAGTGTATGTCTAAAAAGTAAGTCTTCATCTTACGTTACTGAATTTTTTCATTTTTCACGTTATGCAGTAAAGATGGAAATTTGCTGTGGTAGTTATTTTGCACGTGCATTTCATGTTAAGTGTGCATATACGAGGGCAATCTAAAAAAAAAAAGGTCTCCTATTTTTTGGGGACGTAGAGAAAGTTTTAATACGGTTGTTGGCAACACTATTGTGAGTGGTGCCTTCTCCGCTACCACATAAGCACGCAGGTGCTTCGTTCGGATGCTCAGTCTTGGCTTGGCAGCCATTCGAAATGGAGCTCCCGATAAACGTTACCGCCAAGTGCGAAGTGCGCACAGTTATTCAATTTTTGAACGCAAAAGGCGTTACCGCTTGAAATTCACCGCCTATTGACAGAAGTGTATGGACAGTCGTGCATGGATGTCAAAAACGTTCGCAAGTGGTGTAGAGAGCTTACAGCCGGTCGTACTGAAATTCATGACGAAGAAAGGAGCGGGAGGCCGTCAATTGCCGACGAGACAATCGTAAAAGTTGAGGAACTCAACTTTCGCGATTGTTGAGTTCGTATTCGTTGAGTTTCGCGATTGTTGAGTTCGTAAAATGCGTAAAGATCGGAGGAGCTCCTGAAGCTCCTCAACGCTTCCTGAAGGGCATGGCGGCAAGCTGGTATGACATGGGCATTGTAAAACTGCCACAGAGTCTACAAAAATGCATCGACCGAAATGGCGATTATGTTGAAAAATAAAGCATTCTGCAATCTTTAAAGTGATGTAGCAATTATAGAAAATAAACGGTTCTTTGTATATCTAAAAATCTAGGAGACCTTTTTTTTTGGGAAGGCCCTCGTATCAATGCAGTAGTCAGTTCTTTACTCCAGTCGTGACTATGTAATAGTGATGCAATTAAGCAAACATTTGGTGGTTCTTATTGTATGGTCAACAGATGTGACATGTATATCGTGTGTTTTTTTTAAGTTATAGGAGATAAATTTACTGTGGTTTCAAATTAGGAAACGTGTGAGTATTCATAGCATGCCATACTTTAACTGATGTAGCAATAAAGATCAGTTATGTATAGATAGCATATTAAATGTAAATAACCATAGAGAAATAGACGTGCTTCGTTTTCCTTTTAGATGATATACCATACATATTGTTTAACTGAAAAGAAATCTAATCTAATCTGTTAAAATCTGCTGTTACTTTTTAAAGCGCTTGATATTATATGCTTCTAAAAATGCTTTTAAATTTGTGATGATTAAAGCTGCCTAAATTGGAAACTCAGTTTTCTGTAAAGCTGAAATTTTTTTAATGTTATATTTATAGTATAAATATACATTTATAGTAATATTTAACATTAAATATGGGTAAATTACTTGTGATACACATATATATGATTTATAAAATTAAATAATTTTTATATTTAGTGATTTTATTCATATATGTTTTCTAGGGTCAGAAACTGTTGAGTAAATTTAAGAAATATTCTTTTTTTACTACCTGTATATTTCAGTTGCATTTAGATCTTGTAAACAGTGGGTCATTATCATCTGTACGAAAATTGTGAAGTTATATATAAATTAACCATATGATTTAATGTTCAAAATGTATACCATCTATGCTATGGGTATGTATAAAACAGTGAAATTTAAAATTTGGCAAGTTCCGTGTTTTTTCTGAGTGATTTTTTATGACATAATTTTTTCTGGCTAGTTTATATTTGATCCAGACCGTTTTTAATCCGTTTGAGATTTGTAATCCAGTTTTTAAACTGATGCTTAATAGAAAAATGTTACCATTTAATTTTGCTCTAAATCTTGAAATGGTATACTACTAAGATTATTCACATGTTAATAACTAATTTTATTTTCTTATGTTTTAAAGCACTATGATAAGAGCTTTGCTTTCCTATTTTTTTTTAAAATCAGTATAAAATTTTATTAAAATTATGAAATCAAATTAAATTAACCAAAAAGCATGAAGTAAAATTATAATGCAGAATAATGAATAAATACCAGCTAATGTATATTGCGTCAGAATTAAGTTATAACTAGTTTAATAACCTGAATGACGAGTAAAGTGAATGTAAATCTAATGCTCCTGTTTGGAAGCCCTTAACCGAACTTTAAACAGCATGCATGGAATTTTTAATATGAAATCTAAAATTTAGCTGTTTTATATGTGCATTTGTGGTATACCCAACAGTTATGCTTGTTTAATAATTAATGCAAAGTATTTATGGAATTTCTATATGTAAAATTTTATTAATTAATTGTTGTAAGAGAAACTATTTAATATTATTGCACTGCCACTTCTAACTGCTGTATCTTACTAAATTTTTATTTTATATTTAAAAGTAGTGTTTATTAAAATTCCTAACCCTTTTCAACAGATCCCAATTAGTATTAATTGTCAGAGCTGTATGATATAAATTTTTGTTTAAAATCATTATCTTTAATATTTTGTATAATCACTGTCCAGAGTAAGATGAGTTTATAGTAGTAAATAAGGGTACTGAGGGATGTAATATAATATTTGAACTGAGGTAATGTAACATGTATTGATGCATAAATTGTTACCAATCGAAAAACTAAATATGTATGACATATTAATACTGTGCATTGAGTCTGTGTTAAATCTTCTCATTTTATCTTTTCTTTTGCATTTTCAAATGCTAGGTCCTGCAAACTGCATGGATTAAGGCTAGTGAATATATGGCTGCCATTGATGAACTAGAAATGGCAAAAATGTCCATGAAAACACTACAACAAACAGAGCCTATGGCCAAGTCTCCTGTTTCTAAACTAATTCCAACTGGAATGGTAATTCTAATTTATTTTGAAAAAAAAAAAAAAAAAAAAAAAAAAAAAAGTTCCAATAATTTTTAAACGAATGATGTATTATAATTATTGTCTGATTAAATGTATTTTTCATTTATTAACTCCACAACTGAATTTTCATTTTTAGTATAAGTGTTGTTAACTTAAATGCTTGATTGTAGAAGACACCCTTTTTATTTTAAATTTTTCATTTTATTCATAGAGCTGCACATTTTACTTTTGGAACTTAGTTACAAGAAGAGGAAATAGTGATAAAGATGAAATATTTGCATAAATGTGACTCTCATAATAAATGTTCTAAATATATATATTTATATCTTAAATTTAGCTTATCATGTCCGTAACAGTTTTATAATTCATTTTGATGCAGGGAAACTCCTTTTATGTGTACTGATGTTACCTTACCCTTGTATACTATATTTTCTAACAGATGGTGAGTAATAGTATCAGATCATTTGCAAATAATTTTAGAAACATCATAATTCTGTTCATGGAGATGCTAAAAGCATTCAAACCATGTGTACTTTTATTAAGTACGTGAAGGGGCCCATAAAGTGAAATCAATTTTGCTATTTAATGTCGTTCAGTTAAGTATCCATAATTGTGTAATTGTCTACCTAGCATTATTCGCCACAAAATTCGTAATTAGGTCTTGTCTGTCAGAAGTTCTAAATTATATATTATTCATGTCAGATATTTTATTAAAAATTTTAGCTAGATATACTTTAAAGCATCATTATAAAGCATATTTTTTAAGTAAAGTCTGTAATTCTCCAAAATCAGATCATCAGTATCCTATTAATCAGAATTTGTATTGTGATTTAGTTTTTACTTATTTTGCCTGTGTGGTTTTATACTGAATCTTCATCAAGCTGTTTTTATTTTTATTTATTTATTGTTTTGATTTGGCAGGGATTTGAATCTTCATTGTGCTGTTACAGCTTATAATAATAATATCTAAAACCCTGAAAAGAATTTTTTTTTTTTTAGCATTGCTTACTGGTTATCCGATGTTTCAAATTTCTGAAAATAGAATCCATATTGGGATTGTTTGTCATTTCCTTTATAGAAGTCTTAATGATCCTGCATCTTGATTGTTTTTGCAAACATGGAAACTCTGGGGTTTTTTATATTAACTATTAGCTATTTTTATATTAAAACTGGATTATCCAACTCTATAATAGAATAAAAGTCTCCTCAGCTGGGGACCTGAGGTTTTGTTACATTTATATTCAAAGCAGTCTGAACGTATGGAAACAAATTAAAAAAATCATGAAAGCAACTGATTTTTTAAAAATTTTTTATAGAGGAATATACATTAAATATAATTTTTTATGAAACGTAGCTATCAGGAGTTCATGTATTTGTAAAACTTGTCATTTTGACGTGATGAAAAGTACTATTTTCAGTTGAATCGGTGAGTGGGAAAACAGTACTAGTGTAAAGTCAGCCATTTTCAGATAACTGTAAAATGTTACACTAAAAACGTGGAACTAGACATAGGAATGAAAAACGGTACAATTTTCAAGACCTATTATGTTATAGGAGCCAGGCATGGCATTCAAGGAACAGAAAAACTATCTGTCCTGCACCGGTACTATTTTTTTCTTTCAACCTACAGTCCAACTTCTAGATGGCAGTAGTTGTGCAGCACTTCCTGTGGAAAACTAGATTAAAACATTGTATTTTTGTTGATGCTTATTTCTCCATTTTCGCAGTCCATTATTTCTCATGTGAGTGGTGCATTTTATTTTGTTTTTAGATTAGTAAAGTGGTGTTATTACATTTTTGATGGTTTGGAAGTTTCAGTTATGAACAATTGAGAGCCCTGGGACACCTGTTCTAAACAAGAGGGACAGGAAACACAAAGCTGATCTTCACTCATGGAAGAAACAACAGATGGACAAAGCCTGTCTTGAAGGTGCTGCTCATGTCAGCATAAAATGTAAACATGTTCTGGTCAAAGGGCTAGATTGTTCTTGTAAGCATCTCTCCCTGAAAATTTTTTCTGATACGAAAAAGATATCATCATTAATAGATTGTATGAAGGACAACCGAAAAATGAAGAAGACACGTTTTAATCGGGTTAATAAAGAGTAATCCTGTAAAAAGATGATGACCAAGATCTGAAGAGAATGCGAAATCAAGAGTAATTTTCCTTATTTTGCAATGATAGGAAGTGACCACGTTTCTGTTTGCAAACAAGCATTTATGAGCTTGTATAGTGTATCTCATATCCATGTTTAGCGTTTGACAGCCATCCTCTTATCAGGAAAATCTCTGATCGATACCCATGGAAAACGCAATAATAGACCTCGTGCCATTATTAGACAAGTATCTTGTCAAACTCAAAGAACACACTGAGTCATTTCCAACAAAAACTTTGTACTGCTCATCTTAAACAATGAAATATTTACATAGTGGTTTGAATGTTAAGTCTATGCAGTTTTTTTTAAAAACATCCTCATTTGAAAAATTGATTAAATGTAAGTATTGTTTGAAGTATTTTAATGAACATTACGATCTAAAATTTGGAAGGCCTCAAGTGGATGTTTGTTCAGATTGTGAGAATTTATGAGTGAGAATTAAGGATAATATTGTAAATGCTGCTGCGAAAAGGGTTGCTGCAGCTCAGCCAATTGTTTATAAATGTGCTAATAAATTTTATAACAAGCATTTGACATATTGCAAAATTTTGTGAAGAAAATCTACATATGTCAGCTCTATGCTTTGATTTCCTGCAGAATTTACCTTTGCTTGAACTACCTGTTCAAGAACTCTGTTACTATATACAACTGTCGATCAGCACTTTTGAAATCCATAGCATTAAGGATTTCAGGATACTCTTATGCATATAATATGTTATAAATTCATATTAAGGATATGTTATAAGTTCAGAATACTGTTATGTATATCATGAAGGAGAAGCTCACAAAGACCCTAATGAGGTATGTACCTTCTTAATGACTATTAAAATGAAATTACCGAACCTATTTTCAGATGCATGCCCAGGACAGAACCAAAATCACTCATTTGTGAGATTTTTAATGGCTTTGCAGGCAAGCAAACGATTCAAAATTGTATATCATTTTTTCCCTGTTCGAGGACCTTCCTACTACCTTGTGACAGGATTTTGGAATGATTAAAAGGAACATAAGGAAACATAATAGAGTGTATATAAGGAAACATATAGTTGGATTCAAATCTTTTATGTTTCAAATATCGGTTTACAAATTTTTATCATAAAAATATCTGATTTTAAAGAAACCAATCCTGATACTGCAGTTAGTGATAAAACTGCTGTCAAGAAAATACATAGCAAAGCAAATGCCAAAAAACTAATGATGGTCCACGCTTCTTTATTGTTTCCAGTCCTTCTGGCGAATTGCAAAAAAGGTCTCCTTTACTGGTAAGCAAGTATATCCATTCATGCATTGGTGAGCCTAGGAACATAAAGCATCTTCGTTCCAGAGACCTGCTTACTGATACTGTTTGGCCACCTAGTCTGCTTCAATTTTATTTCAAACCCGAACTTGGAGAAGTATCTATATCGGTGTCACCGCACAAAGCACTCAACTTCTGTAGAGACGTGATTTCAGAAATCGACCTTCTCTAGAAGAGTTCATTTCCGAGTTAGCTGACCAAAAGGTTTGTGCTGCTATGCGGATCAAGATGCATAAGGAAAGTTGATTGACAGGAAACAAATGATCCTGATCTTCAGCTTGCTTGATCTGCCAAAGAATATCAAGGTTGGATATCTTAATTACCCCATAAGACCTTATATATTCTAAACCCTATGTGATCCTGCCAATGCCAGCATTTTGTCTATTCCAAGATGTATTGTCATGGCAATGTGATGTGCGCTCAGTGCTCGCTGGTTGGTCACAACGGTGATAATTGCACCACTGCAGCATTGTGTATAAATTGCAAAGGTGACCATCCAGTATATTGTCATTCCTGTCCAAAATGGAAATCGGAAAATGAAATACACACAGCAAAAGTTACTAGGAACATCTCGGATGCTGAAGGCAGAAGGCAGATTCAAAGCACACAGCTTCAAACAAATGTCAAATGCCAGTGCCTTAGAATGGCACATACCATTGCCACCAAAACTTCAATAAGTATGCAGACTCCACCAAATAAAACCCAGTGGATTGCAAGTAAGAAAAATCAAAATTCAACCCATCCCATACCCCTCCCCCCCGAAAAAAAATAGTAATTCAAAGCAAATCCAAAAATAGTTTCAAAAATAGAAGCCTTAGCAACAGCTTATTTAATGACATGTTATCTGAATCTTAAAATTCAGATAGTATGGAAGTAGAGGAGAGACTAGAAGTTCCCAAGCACATACTTCCATGAAAAACTAAAAAACAGCACAGAAAGAACAAACATCAATTATAAAGGGTACCCCCCTCTTATAGAACTGTCATGTCTTCCATAAAAATTTGCTTGAAATCAAAAGTATGGTCAGTGCTTATTATCCTGGGTGCTTTTCAATACAGGACACAAACCTGAAACGGGAACAAAAAGGAAAACTTTGGAGGTTTTCGTTTGTCAGGATAGGTAATCCTGCATGTCAATGTGCCAGTGGCTCACTGGACTATTCATCAGATGCTCTTTCTTTGATGACCTCCCTCCAAGTTGTGTTATATGTGCAAATTTTTATGATTTCGGTCGTTTCTCTTTATTTGCCTCCAAATGAGTATGTTGATCAACAACATTTAAATGACCTCATAGAGAAGCTCTGTGTGCCCTTTATCTTAACAGGGGAATTAACGGCTGTACTCTGCTTTGGGTAAGTAAAGACACCAATTCTCGGAGAAGACAAATTGAGCAAATGATCCAAGAGCCTTTGTCTCCTTAATTATGGGCAGGATACATACTTCCATGAATCTACAAGAACATTTCACGCTTCTGTTGCCATTTGGTACCTTTAGTGTTTGGAATCATCTTTACAACAGCGATCATTATCCCATTTTTGT